GTCCAGCAATAACAACACCACAAGGTGCGCAGATAGTTTCAACACAATAGAATCTACCTGCACGGAAGTAATTGGGGGCTTCTCGTGGTTCTGCATTTGGAGCATCATGTTGTTGGGGATTTGGTCCTCTGCGATTTGGTTCCCAAGGATTACTCTCACCAGGGCGTTGTAACATCCGGCGGACCCCAGCTTGATTGTGACGTTTGCTGTGCTTTGCATGTTTACGCCACTCTGGTTGGTGCTGTTGACATGCAAGTGTCCTTTCTACTCTTCTGTTATTACAACCACGAACCAAGCATTGAGAACCAAGAGCTAAGTGGTGTATATCACACAGTGATCCACCACGTGCATTGGAGAGATCATTAGTGCAATTGTCATATGCACAGTGCTAAAAAAAAGTTGTAAAAAAATGAACTCAGCAGAAAGAATCTAAAATTATTTACCTGAGGACCCATAACTATACCATCAAGAACAACCATCCTTATATTTGGGATATCATCAGTATCCATCTCATCATCTGAGGGGACCTGAGGTGCATCAATGTCCATTCCTTCAGGTGCTCCTTCCAAGGCAGGAATATCATCATCTGTGGCATCAACACCAACAACAGCTGCTGGATTATTGAAAACTGCATCACTAGTCTCTCTGCATTTTTGAGTGCATTCATCACATGCATGTTTCTCAGAAGCTCTAATAATTCCATCTTCTCCCAAAAGTGAAAATGCCTGAGTAGTAACTTCTTTGATGTTCAAACCATCATCAAATTCAGCATCAATTCCAGATTCCTCAGCAATTGTACGAACAGATTGTTGAACAAATGCTTGCCAGACATGAGCACGAGTAATTGAAAGTTCTTTGGTTCCATGTGTATTATTCCAGTACTCTGCAAATGCAGATGCTGAACCATGAAAGTTATACATAGCATTTATGACTGCTGTTGCAAATAGACGATCTGCCCAGATTAATTGGCCAATTTTCAAATATTTGGCTGAGTTGATATAGACTCGTTTTAAAGTATTTTGAACAGTTGATGTATCTTCAAATCTTTCATGATCAGCTGTATACAATGTTTTACAGCTTTGACACTTTCCAGTGAGCACAGGTACATGTTGATATACTGTCTGCCCTTTGATCAAAGTTACCAATGGTATGTCAGAAGCCTTGGTGGATTGACGCAATGATCTTGGACTACAGTCTAGGGTTTGACATGCAAATGAAGCTGGACAAATGACATAAGCTGGTTCAATCTTGCTATGTGACAGAGGGAGTAATTTTCCTTTATAATTTCCCTCCTCATCAAATGTTGACAGTTTCAAACACCCAGCTAGCTTGTCAAGCTTTCCAGCAAGAAGGGAAACCTTTGTCTTTTGATCTGGCTCTCGTGCAAGTTCATTCTCAGAGAATAAAGTTTCAGTTCTCTTATTTCCAAGTTTGTCCATTAGTGCAGTGCAGTGCTTAGTGCAGTTATCCATCCTGTAACTTGGACTTTGTATTCACCACCATATATCCGCTGTTGTTGACGAAAATGAAGATTCAACAGATCTGGATTTTCAAATAAGGTGTATGAAACTGCAAGAACAGTAGCCAAAGAAACATTGGACCCAAATATTGATTGTATGGCATCACTAAAAGTGCTGAATGGGATATTTGGGAAGGGACACTGCACTAGAGGGGTAGCATATGTAGGTGAAACAAGACAAGACCAGGTAAAGAACCAGGCAAGAATCCAGTGCTGGCATACAAGAGATATCGCCATTGTAACAAACATCAAAGTTGATCTGAAGAAAAAAGTAAAACTACTGTACAAATCAGCTTATTCATGTCCCATGCATATTCTGAAATGAAAAAAAAGGAAAAAAGTCACAAGTCCTACTTACTCAGAAGCTTCCTCATCCAAATCCCTAACCCTTGCCTGCTTCAACTTCTTGTGCTTTCTCTGCTCCACATGTTTATCTTTATCACGATTCTTCTTGGGACTGTCTGGAGCTTTTCTCTTCCCCTTCAGATCACCACGCTTCTTCAACTCTCCCTCACGATCTTTTTTGTCAAGCCATTTCTTCAAATCAGGAAAGCTCAGCACTCGACTGCTCCTTAAGTCCCACAAATCCTCAGTAGCAAGGCAATCCTCCTCCTCATTAAGCCAGTCTCGCATATCTGGATATTCCTCTGCTCTTAGGAATGTAGGCTTCCAGACTTGGTAGAACTGAGTCTTAGCGATAAAGATATGGATAAAGTCGACAATGTTGGGAACCCAGGCAGCTCCATCATCAAACTGCGACTTCCACTCAGCATCCTTGCTCAAGCCCATAACTTTAGGTGTAGCATTGATGATAGCCTTAAACTTCTGATAGGCTGACTGTAACCCAGCCTTATCCAGAGAAGCAAGATCTCTGTCAATCCCAAGATATTCTAACAGAAGTGCTTTGTTGGCACTAGAAAGCTTTGAAGGACCAGTCACCTCAGATCTACTAATAGATGATGCCTGAGACTGTCCACGAGAATCAGAAGCAACAGACGAAGAGCGAGGAACAGATCCTGAATGAGAGCCTAGAGAGACAGAGCACTGATGAAATGATGGTGGAATCGCAGAAGCGACCATTTGCTCATGGTCGTTTTCCTAGACATAATTTAAATAAGATTTAAACCAAGAATAGCCAATAAAACATACCAGAAGAATATGTGTAACTTTACCAATGTCATCCTCCTCCCAAATAGCATCCTCATCATCCTCAACTACTACATTGTAACGGCCCATGATGGACCACTGCTTCTTATCCAAAATATAGACACGATAATTGTGATCTGAGATGAAGCTTTATTAAACTTTGTATATTTATATATAGTCAAACACTTACTGCGAACAGGGGAATAGCTCTTGGCCACCTTTTTCAGAAGTGGGCCCAATGTCTCAAAACAGGGGGACTTGACATTTAGATGTGATGTGGCATTGTCGATAACAACATCAGAAGGAGGTTGTTGGACGATTGTGATGTTAATGCGACCATTAGAAAGGGGTCTGACCTCTTGTGGCGCATCATAAATGGAGTCACCTATATTGAACAAATTTCCAACAGCACGCCCACGCAAAATACCCCCAGTAGAACGGGAAGACCCATTAGCAGGGACTTCTGTCTCAGGAGGTGCCAAATTGGAAAGATCAATATCTATGAATAGATCATAATAAATAAATAAAAGATTGAAACATAAAATAAAATATTACCCTTGGCCAAGGGCTCCTCATGACCAGAACCAGACTTGGCCTGATGACGACCTCTTGGTGGGCCAAATCGGATATCTTTCCCATCACTACCCTCATCAACCTCATCAACCTCATCTCCCTCATCACTCTCCTCACCACTTACTTCTTCATGTCCAGCAGTAACTTCTGGCTCACAATTGATATGAGAACGGCTGCTCGAAAGGGTAGGAGCAGGAGGAAGGAAGGAAGGGGTGGATAATTTGCCAGTACGCTTTGGGGGTGCAACAGAAGTACCAGCAGCTTCAAGAGCTCGCTCAACCCTATCAACATCACATTAGAAATAATCAAATAAAGATCAAAGAGCTCACGGTGTCAGCTGGGCTGGGACACCCTTATCATTCTCAGCCTTGTCTTTGGCAGCTCGCTGGGCACCTGTCATTCTGAATAAAATAGTTAGTATGCAAGTACTGGTATAAAACAGGCCACTCACGTTGCTTTTTTCCCCTTCTTACCACCGCTCTTTCCCTTTATGGTGCCCTTTCCAGCCTCTGGTTCTTCCTCACCACTCCCCTCAACATCATTCTTGGTGGTGGCCTTGGCACGCTTGGTGTTTGTTGCCTCAGTATTGGATTGGCCACGTTTCCGGCCTCGTTTGGGGGGAGAATTCACCCCAGCTTGTAAAGATCGAAGTTCTCTTGCACTCATAGCAGTAGACAGCAAGATTAGAAGGTATAAGAGGCAAGTGGGACTGCAAGAACAAAGGGGACAGGAAGCAAGATGAAGGGGGAAGGGAAGAAAGACGTGGGAACTTAGACACACACAGCTAGGGTTGAGGGTTTCTTTCAGATGTCTATTTTCAGTAATTAATCAAAATTTCAAAGTAAGAGGCAGCGTGAAAACGCCGCCTCATTTTGATTCTAAGTATGTACAGGAGATGTAAGCCAGGCAAACAAACAAGACAGCAGGTGGGATTCCTGCTGTCTCGTTGTGTTCTGGGGTTCAGGAAGTTACTGTAAAATGAAATACAGAGGCATGCCTCGTTGGTATTCTAGGGAAATGCACGAAAATTGTAAAGTAAGCGTTGACGTTGGGCGGTGGGCGTCTGCGATGGGCGGTGGGCGTTTGCGATGGGCGGCTGGGCATTGTTGATGGGCGGTGGGCGTTTGCGATGGGCGGCGGTGGGCGTTGTTGATGGGCGGTGGGCGTCTGCGATGGGCGTTTGCGATGGGCGGTGGGCGTTTGCGATGGGCGGCGGTGGGTGTTGTTGATGGGCGGTGGGCGTCTGCGATGGGCGGTGGGCGGTGGGCGTTTGCGATGGGCGGTGGGCGTTTGCGATGGGCGATGGGCATTTGCGATGGGCGGTGGGCGTTATGGGCGGTGGGCATTCATTTACGGGTGGTTGTTGGGTGGGCTGTGGGCGTTGTCGTCGTGAGCGGTGGGCGGTCGGCGCCGTTTCGTGGGCATTTGGCACTGGGTGAGCGATGGGTGTTGTTCATGGGCGTGGGGTTCTCATTTGTGGGCGTCATGTAGTAATTTGTGGGCGGTGAAGCCTCGTGGGTGCTCGTCTTCGTCTTCGGGTGCTAGGGTTGTCATCTGGGGGGCATGGTGGTGTGTGTCATTCAAAATGGGATGGGATGGGGGGAATTGACTTACTAGAAAGCGACGACGACGAACGACGTTGTTCGTTCGTCGTCTAGTTGCCACGTTGCGTGGCAATGGGAACTCCCTCCCCCCCCCTCATGTCGCGTTCATCGTGTGCAGTTGGTGACGTGGCACTTGGTGATGTGGACGTGGTGGATTGTGGTGGGCGTGGGCGACGGATGCAGATGGCATCGAGCGACAGGGATCGTGGTGGTCACGATGAGCGGTGGTGGTGACGGACGTGTTTGGCGGCAGTGACAAGCATGGTGGTGGTGGGAGGAAGAGGGTGGTCGTGTTTGGTGAGCATGATTGCCAAACAGATATTATTTGTTATCCATTGGAAATAAACAAACTATAATACATAACAAAACAATAAAATAACTAGATTGCAGTTCCTGCCCATTCCGGGGAATGCTATTCCTGCCCATTCCGGGGAACATTCCGGTGTACATTCCGGAATCCACCGGAATTCCACCAGAATGGAACACACCGGAATTCCACCGGAATGGAACACACCGGAATAAACAATTTAGCAGGGCCTTCTGCTAAATTCCATTCCACCGGAATCCACCAGAATTCCACCGGAATGACCGGATTCCTGCAGGAATAGGGGGGGCACTGATAAGACCTCCCATCGGTCATACTGAGCTTTTGCTCTAAGCCAATTCACCCGATATACTATTGGGTTGTCTGGTTTCAATTCATCTAGAGGAATAAAAGTGATTGGATCTGACCTTGTTCCATGTAAGTTGAACCCAACGAATCATCAGCCACGGCCATATTCCAGAACCATGGCAAAGCAATATTTCTTTGACCCCAGGCGTTGCCATCGTATACCCTAGTTAGTGCCCTTGTATCTTTTTTCCCTATCGGCTTGTATCGGTCACAAGTACCCTGAGGAGCATTGAGCTGATTGAGAGCCCATCGAGCTTGGTTGTATGCCTGGAGAGCACTTTTCATATCGCGATCCAATCCTTGTACAGCATCGTAAGCCCGAGTTACACGTTTTTTCGATTTCTCTGATCGAACTCTCCTGCGGTAAAGGAATGACTTGTAACCGATGGCTTCCCGTAAACGTTTGAGAGTGTTATTTGCCTGAGCCACTCTTAATTCTATCTCTACGCACCAGGCTTCTCCCAGTGATGTAGGCAGAAAGGCCGATTGGAATGAGGATGGTAAGAGGATTTGTTGATGTTCGGCCGATCCATACCCCTGATCAGGCAAACTGGGTATGGGTACCGGCATCTCCTCTCCATCACAATCACTCCAGTCATCGTCATCCACGATCTCCTCCAAGAGTGGTGGATCATGAATAGTTGCTTTGTTAATTTCCAAGTTGGAGAAATTGAAGGCTAAGAAGTCGGAACCAATGGCGGAGGGAGCCGAGGACGGGGGAGAGGAGGAAAGTGTGGTCGTCGTTCAAAGACCCAAGACGAAGACAACGAAGCAGGACGTAGAAATGGCCGAGGTTTCTGAGGGAGAGTCCTTCGATTTCAATTCTATAAAGGAGGAGGATTCAGAGATGGTGGACATGACCTCAGGTGTGGACGCCGAGGTCGATACTTCTTCCCGACCTGACAAAGGCAAGGCGTGGGCAACTCCAGCCATCGTCATTGAACGACCAACACCAACACCCCCAGTTCAACCCAAGTTGAGTCTGGCCATGGATGAAATGCCCACCGTGCCCGATGTCGGCCAATCATCAGGTAAGAGTTTATCAAATCAGTTTTTCCTTACTAACCAGCCTAGCTTCCCTCATGCCCAACCTTGGGCAATCATCAGCAACAGGGATCATGCCCGACCTCGGGCAATCATCAGGTAAGATTCAATCAAATCAGTTTTTCTTTTCTAACCAAGCTAGATTTTGCTGCAACGCCCATCATGCCTGACCTCGGGCAATCATTAGGTAATGCTGCGATGCCCATTGTGCCCGACCTCGGCCAATTGGCAGGTAAGACACTATCAAATTCATTTTTCCTTACTAACCTGCTCTGATGCCTGGCCCGATCCCAGCTCCTGCCAATGACATGGTGGGGATCTTAGTCAATAGTGCTCCGGCCTCAGTTGACATCTTCCCTTCCCAGCCTGAGCAGTCAGTTTCGAACTCGCGCCGTGTCAGTCCCCCTCACATTCAAGAACTTCATCGTAAGTTCTTTTATGTTCTCATTGGACTTCTTTGCTTAAAAACTTAGTTGATACAGCAATGTACATCAAGGAGGTGGATTTCAGGTCCCACACTCCGCCACCGGCATTCGACATGCATGCAATCCAGCATGAGATCAGGAGACTCGGTCAAGATCAGACCGACATTCAAAACACTCTCTGTGAACAACAGGCTCAGCTGACCATCGCGTCAGAGCATACCGGCATCGACCCGAGTGCTCTTCTCCCCCTATTCATGAACTCCACGTCACTCAGCCAACGTCTGGCCTCCCTGGAGGAAATGACCTGGAGACTTCAAGAGGTTGAATCCGCTGGCGATCATCTTGCTGAACAAGTCAAAACTCTGGAAACATTGTTGTGGTTTGAGGAGGAAAGAAGAAGCAATGCATACACCGCGAGGATGGACCGATTTGAAGACCTTCACCAAGCACAGTGGAAGGATGCCGAAGCCAGGCTCCAAGACCATCAGATGGACTTGTGCACGATAAGGGTTCAGCACAAAGCTTTTGAGGGGGAGGTCAGGAATATGATGAAGGTCACGCCGGCTGCATTGCAAGAACAAGTTGTGAAGTCTATGGCCGAACTTACAAACCGAGTCCACCAGGCCGAGCAAGCACAGGAGACTCTGACTACGTCCTATAGCACACTTACCAAGGGTCAGATAAAACTTGGTAACCGACAAACAATCGTGGAACAAATTGTCCTCAATCATTTTGGCCACAAAATCATGACCGACACCCAGATCAATGTGACCAAGGGGACAGCCGATATTGGCATCAACACAATGAAGGGTACTGTGGATATTGGCATCAACACCGATAAATCAGCAGAGGAATCGGTCCAAGCATCGAGCCCGGCCCCAATCCAGTCAGCAGCTCCTCCGACGCCGGCGCAAGCTTCGAGCCCGGCTCCAATTCAATCGGCAGCTGTGCAAGCTTCGAGCCCGCCTCCAATTCAACCCACAGCTCCTTCAAATCTGGTTCAAGCTGAGAGCCTGGCCCCAATCTATTTGGCTCCAAAGCCAGTTCATGCAACACGCCGCGGCAGATCACCCTCTCCCTTCACAGTTGGCACCAGGAGGTCTCCTCGGCTGATAGCTTCATCTGGTATGTCCCCTGCTTGATAGTAATGATTCAACATCTAAATCCCAGTAGATGATCATCCTTCGACTCCCACTAATGAAGACCCGCAATAATCACATACTCCATATTTTGTAATGCCTCTTCTTATCTTGTAACTTCTTGTCAATATAAAGGTTTTTTGTGTCATGTTCTTTGTAAAAGAGAAAAAGAAGTACTGCAATCTTGAAGAAATAAAACTAATCTGAGGGGTAAGTGTTAGAGGGCGACATTCAAGAAACTCTGGCGAAGTGCTTTACCTTGGCTGGGTCAACTGCTTAGGTCAAAGCCACAATGTGCTTCACGGTAGTATGTTCGAAAGGCTGGATTGTGTTCAAAAATTATCAATTTAGAAACGAAGATATCACCTTTGGGACTTGAACCCCGGTCCTGACTATCGGCTGCTGTAAAATATACTGACCGATGTTGTCTTGGACAAGTGAATTTGCCTATAAAGATAACATGGTAGAAATATAAACCGAGCAGGAACGACCAGGTCTGGCTCAAGCAACCGTGCTTGGCTGCCTAAAATAAAAGCGAAGGGGAAAACAGATACCAATCCATCTTGAAAATGGGTAAAAGGTTGGCTGATCCAGAGTTCATGAATTGTCCAGTTTCGTTGGCCGACTGGGTAGCTGTATCCATTTGCTCGATTAATCAGCCGAACCATAACTACAATAATGTGAATCCCACCAGCTGACCCCTCAAATCAGAATTTAAGGCCCTCGGCTGATCACGAACCCAGGAACATTCAAAACTGTCAGCCGACCTTGCAAAGCTATCATCCATCAGCCGATATACCACCTACTTCTCTCTGGGCTTACTTCCTGCTGATCCGGCTGTGCTAAATTTACGTCGCTGGCCGACCCTTCGCTACCTCAATAGTGGGGATGACATTGGCCAATTCATCAACACAGGGTCATTATCCCTCATCGGCCCATTAGCAGGCTCCATCAACTATGGCCTGTTTGTATGTTCGGGGCTCTCAGTGTTGGTGGGTGATTCCTACTAACTGCCCTGACAGAAACTCAACATTCCATAGCTTTGCAGAGGTGCCTCTGGGGCTCAGGGTGATGATACAAAGAGTTTGAAAGGTGCCATACTTGAATGGATTAAACCAAAAGGCAAATCATTGAATCTGCCCCTGGCTCAAAATGTGAAACTTGACCGAGGTTTCCACCATGAGCGTACTGGAGCTCCTTTGGGCACGTGGCATCTCACGCGTGACAGCTGTGGCTGAAGCGCTGCCACGCTGTTTCTTCCTTCCCCACCACCACCATCTACCACCCACCACCACCGCGAGCGCCCACCACATCGGCAACGACGACATTGATGACACGCAATGACGCTGACAACACACAACAACACACAACCTCGTCACCTGACCACAACAACGAGCGCTGAGGAGGTGAGACGACGTGGCAGATGTGCCACGTCGTCCAGACGGTGACGACGCAAGCCGTCGTCACTGTCCATGCCAGGTAAGTGCACCCAGCACCGTTCTTTCCCCATCCCATCTCACACCCGATGCAGGTGCCACGTCGCTATCCTGCGACGTGGCAACGATTCAACCGATGACTCACCAACACGCGACACGACAAAACGGCACAACAACAACAGGACGACACCAACGGGGACGACCAAAAACGAGAACGCGCCCGTGAACAACAACGCCTAGGGACAGCAACGACCCCCCGACTTGCGGACGACACAACGACCACCACAACGCCTGAGCGCCCACAACGACCCCCGCTTATTAACGGAGACGAAAGTGAAGGGACACGGGCAATGACGAGCCCAGGTGAGCTCCCCATCCCTCCATCATTCCATCCTACTCCCTCCCCCTCCATCCCCCTCCTCCCATTGCTCCCTTTCCCCTTGCTCTCCTTCCCATTGCTCCCCCTCCCATTTCCCTCCTTCCCTTCTCCCCTTGCTCTCCTTCCCTTTGTTCCCCCCTCCCTCCAGTGCCAATGGAAAGTATTGTACCACTTCAATATATTAGAATTTGAATCTATATAACTGTTCTAAGAAGAAACTTGTGAGGTTATTATAGGACAAGATATAATAATAAATTGGCTGACTACATTAGACTTACAATAAATATGATAGGCATGAAGTCACATGATGTCTAAATTGAGTTGGAATTCCTACTGGATTCCCACTGGAATGAAATGGGAATAGAGTAGGAAAGCAGTCCTACCATATTCCCCCAGGACTGCAGCCAGAATGCCAGACTTTACCCGGACTACAGTGGGATTCCGGTGGGAATACATGGGGGAGAGTTAAGTACAGGAAACAAAAGCAAAGTCTCAGGAGATTAATGGTAATGATGAAGACTTGGGTTTGGATGAACAACATGCAGAATCTAATGTCTCTGAATCTGATTGAAATAAATAAATCCATGTAGTAGTAAGTAACTAGTCATATGCCTTATGCCCTTGTTTAGTAAAAGATTTAGTGCTACAATTCTATTTGTCTGATCTACAGAAGGAGATTCAGGGTCCAAAATTAATTAACCAGAAGTCCTAGTGTTCAATTTCTGTTGATTCCAGTTGGATTCCTGTCGATTCCGGCTGGAATCCAGGGATTCCAGTAGGAATCAGTGGAGGAATGGAAAGTATTGCCCAAATAGCTAATGAAAATTGCAATGATATTGGTCAAGTAGCTAATGAAAATTGCAATGATATTGACCAGGTACATAATGAGATGGAGGTCTAAGGCCTTTCCTACACTTAATGAAAAAAGCACAGGCTTTATGATAATGAAAAGACATGACAACTGGAATGATTCTCTATCATAAAGACTGTGGGCTTATACACAATGACCTCTAGGCAGTTACCTTATTTATATGATAAAAGTGGTAGCCAGTAGTGAAAACACCTTCTGCAAAAAAGGGGAAGCACACTCACAATCTTCACCAAAAATGAGGATGGGTTGTCTGGAAAGCCGTACATTGTAGGCTTTGATGGCACACTGAGGGGAGGCCCTGAGGCCAACCAGCCATGGCTTCCTACCTTCGCTAGCAGCTGAGTTCAACCTCAGAGGGAGACACTTAACCCATTCCTCGTTGTCCTCAATGTGGAAATTGCATTCTGACATTTCAGAAGAAAATCAATTGTACTCTGTGGTGACTATGAAGAACTCATTGACTTGTTTGAGCTCATCAAACAAATCTACTTTGTGCCCCTGATCAAAGACATATGGGGTGAGCTGAAAGAAATGGGTATCACCTATACTGCACCTGCATGCGGCAATGCCACCATGGAAGTAGATGAATTTGGAAGGGGGAGGGCTGGAGACAAGGATAAAACTGTCACTCAGAAGGCAGTTGGCAAGAATTCAGGGACTGGGGGTGTCGTTGACAGACTGAATGCTGGTGCCTTCCATGACAAAACTATAGCATATCATCAGTACTTGATATCACGTTGTGGTAGGCCTTTCTTTTTTTACATGCCTGTGGATCACGTGTGGCTAATGCTCAATCGTCTAGATAGTGATGTTAACTCTGGTTATCATGATATCAATGAGGACAATGATTCTGGTGAAGATGGCGATGGACATGACTTGCCCACTCACTCAACTGGTCATGGTATGTGATCTACCCTCCTCAACTTCATCTCACCTCTTACACTAACAGTAGATAAACATGCCGAAGCTATGCCTCCCATTTCTGCTTTTGAGAAGGTAGAATGGTGGCGCATTGGTCTAGCGATGCTGTCCATGAACTGAAAAGTATGGGAGGAAAAATGGTATGGGGTGTTCAGCAGCTGACCAGCACACTATAGCGTCAATTGGAAACACCTGATTTAATTCAGAAAATGCAAACAAGTAATGAGTTCATTTTGCACAAAAGATATGCACCCCCTCACACTCACAACCAATATGAGGCTATACATACCTTTTATCGGGCATGCTCTGTTGATACACATTGCATGGGATGACCATGAAAGTGTAAAACACGCAAATAAAGATTAAGCATGTCAGGGAGAACAATGACAAGCTTGGATGCAAAATATTTAGATTCACAGATTTTGAAAAGAAGAATAGCAATGAGCAATATTGATTGCAAGATGATGGTGAGAATATTGTACAAGGTGCACATGGCATATAACAAGAGCTAAAGATGACAGCATATAGAACATTGTCCCACTTTTGCTTTCTTGTGTGGAGGTTTGACAACATCAACAATCACATTGGCGTTCTCAGAGTTAATCTGCAGCTTAGTGGCCTGAAAGTACTTGATATAAAAAGACGTCTGCCCTGCAAGAGTAAAATCTAAATATTGATAAGTACTTGCAAAATACAATAACCATACATTACTCACCAACAGATGGGGCTCTCCACGATGTGGGTTCCCAATCATGCCGCCATTCAATGTTATACTTCTCCTTCTTCTCAAGGCTGAGAGAGTGTGAAGGAACACGTTCTTTATGTGCCCAAGCAGCCTTCAGAATTGGATCTACCTCAAGAACATTGGCAATCTGTTTGCTGAGCGAATGGGAGGTGCAATGGGGAATTCTGCCATAAGTCTTTGATTCAGAAAGGCTTTTGTAGTCTGATAGACTAGCCAAAATCTAAACAAAAAATAGAGATATCAGATCATCGGCAAGACCATCCACAGGGCCAGTGAAAGTGGTGCATGAACGAAGCCAGTTGAGGATGTGTAAAGCAACGCCATGGGCATAGCAATATGCAATCCTTTCATTGTTGGGAATGGCATTGATGTCATCAGTGTCCATCAATGTTGTTTGGGCAGGAGAGGTTTCATCATCTTCCCCTTGATTTGGAGTGCTGTAAGTCCTAAAATCCAGGACATTGCCAAGTATAATCAGGACTGCAAGACAGATGATATTGAGCATGCCCTCCATTGTCTCGACATTAGGTAGATGAACCAATGCAGGATCTGCAAGTGGAAATAAGTCAAAGATATAAACAATCATGGGAGAATCTCACCATCTTCAGAGATGCCACCATCAATGAGGCCAACTTGGTAGAAGATCAGGATCCTCTGCAATAGGTGATGAGAGGGAATATGCTCTGTGTTCGTCAAGAACTTGTTGAGAACAAAGGCATGTACAATGCCTTGCAGAGTCTCCTGCATAAGATACGAAGAATAGTAATGACCGCCCTGTGAAATCACATCATCTATGCCATACACCCAATGTGCAGAATTGGGCAGCATATGTCTGCAACATCATGAGATAATGCCATAATTATCAACACAACACTCACAGTTCATCGCCAGGCCAAAGAACAACAGCCTCAAAGTCGTACTTGGTAACCTTGGGCTTCCCAGAGAGAGAAAACCCATCTTCATCCATGTAGAAGGCACCACCATGCTCCACAGGTGCTGCCATCAACCAGTGCCCACCACAATCCACAAGCACCCACCACAATGACCACACAAATGCGGCAATGCCATGTCACCAACCAAACAAGTGATGGCTCCAACCACAACTGCCACACCAGCCAGCCACAAACAACACACCATGCACCTACTGCCACCCAGGAGTGCCCACCACCACCACAATCCACAAATGGTGAGCAGCACCCCACCAACAACAACAACAACAACAACGTCAACAACAATAACAACAATGTCCATGTCCAAACAACAACACATGACAATGACAACACAACAACACAGGATGACAACAATGATGGATGACAAGGCCCAGCACCACCCCCTCCCCCTTTATCAGTCCCCACCACTCTCTCCCCTTTCCATCAGTCCTCCTCCCACCACTCCCCAGGGCCTGCCCCACACCATTGCCTGTCCCTCCTCCCCCCTTCCTTCCCCTTTCTTATGCTGATCACAGCCCCACACCACTGCCTGTCCCTCCTTTCCTTCCTTCCTCCCCCTTCCTCCCTTCCTTATCTTGATGACAGCCCCACACCACTCCCTGTCCCCTCTTCCTTCCCTCCTTCCTCTCCCCCTCCCCCCCTTTCTTCCTGCCCCTTCACTTAACATAGAAAATAGTAAATTAATATTTGAGTTTTAATATATAAATGTTATAAGAAAGTGTTGATATCCTTTAAGTCAGGGTGAAGAAGTGCATATTAGTGTAAATGTATCTAGCAAAAAGAAAAGGTGTTGTATCTGTTGTATTCTGGCCCCATTCCTGTGGATTCCTGCAGGAATGGGTGGGGCACTGTAAAGTACTAGAAGAATGTAGCAATTGATGGCAAACTCATGGCTGGACAGTATGCTCCTCAGGACACAAAAATGTCATATGCAGTCAGAATGACAAGACGTCCTCTTTCACAAATATAGATGAACTATCCCATCAAGCTTTTTCTGATGTAGTTTTTCCCACAAGTAATTAGGAAGCACCAAATTTTTGGGGTCAAAAACTGCCAATGTAACTACGAAATTTAGTTGAGAACTGAATCTAAATGCATCATCGCGGTCCTTGAAACACTGCGATCGCCTTTTTGCTTTTGCACAGCCCACTGGGCAGCCTTGCCAGTCAATCTGAAATAAGCTGACATCCACCACCACGATTGGTTGATAAATCGCCGGATCACCTTAGGGGGACAAGTGTTCAGCGCTTCTGAGGCAGTGTCTTTCGCCTGTTGGAAAGTATTCTTGTCCACCTGTTGATATCAGTATTCAGCCCACCTCCAATACTATAGTAGAGTAGAATCAGAATAAAGTTTCCCATAAGGAAAGTATCAAGGCTCACCATTTCAATGGGATTGAGCTCACAATGGAACTTAGGTAGGAAAATACACTCATGGCTGGCCTCCCAAATTACAGTTTCAAGAACAGAAATATGGTTAGCAAAATCTTCTTGCTTACTGAGAAGATGTGCCATGCAGCAATTGTCATTCTCGAAAGGGCAAACTGGTGCGCATTTAGCGCGAAGGTGGTGCACATCAAAGCCATGCTCTGCAAGAGTCTGTTGAAGCCCTGTTTGTTGCCCAGTCTCAGTGGTCATTTTTTGAACCCTGCCACAATATTCTGGATATGAATTTGAATCTGGAATGACAGTGTCTTTTTGCCAACATTGTGCTCCACCATTTGATTTATTCATTTCAAAGGCTTTGAGTGCATCAGGTGCTAACACAGGATGAGCAGATGATTAATCATAGCTAAAAAGCACCTGGCATCCTGGATGCACTTCTTTGAAAACTGGGATTGCCTTGTTTTTCACCTGGTCAATAAGCTGCTTGGATTCCCACCATGGATCACCATTGGAGCCTGGATAGATTATCTGATGTGCTTCCTTTAGAACCTCACCATTTGGGCCATTCATGACCAAACACCCATTCTCAGCCTCAATATATTCTGAGACATGTATTAAGTGTCCCCTGTCTTTTTTTGCGATGATCTCTGTTGATTGTAACCTGGAACAAAAAACAATAGTTAGAAATAAGGCAGATAAGCAAGGGGAACAAGTAGACATACAAAATCGATGCTGTATGCTCAACAGCATGGAAAGATGACTCATCATGAAACTCAGGGATAATTTCTTTCTCTCCTGGTTGAAGCGAGAGTGAAATCCTCTGTAAATCGTTGCCGATATGTTCATACTTCGCCATTCGGCTTTCGAATTTGGCCATTTTTGGAAGGAAAATATTCTGACGATAGGAAACAATGTCTGCCCATTTGTGTCCATCCATGTAAACTCCCTTCTTAATTCTGGTGTGATGCCAACCAAGCTTAACGAGCCAGCAACAAGCTGTTCTCTCACAAAGTGGCTTGTTGGGATAAATACCAAGCAACAGAAGTATTGATTCATTGAGGCCTTTCTGAAATTTGACTGGGGTAACTTTCCCCTTCTGCTGCTGGATAAGCCAAGCGCAAGATGCACGATGAACTGCCTCATTTTTCAAAATTGACTGTGAGTGGATTCTCCTTGCAAAATGATCTGATGATCCTTTGAGTTTTTGGTGCCACTGCCACTTCAGTCACCCACTGACAACTGACTATTAGTCTTGCAAACTCCTGTCAGGCACAGTGCACATTTAGGTTGGGAACTGTTTCCCACACTTTTTGGGCCAGAAGAGTTAATGGCTAGCTTAGTGTTGTCATTATTCATGACGATGTTCGCATATTTCCTAATTGGGAAAGTCATTACATAATATAAGTTTGGTTTGTAGTGTCTGCTTTTTTCATTAGAAAAGTGTGTAGTCTCCGCTTTTTGGACTACGAAAAGTGTGTAGTGTCTGCTTTTTTTATTAGAAAACTTTGTAGTCTTCGCTTTTTTCATTACAAAACTTTGTGGTCTGCCTTTCTGATATCTTGTAGTCTCCTGGGGATCTAGCTCAATGTTTCAGAGAAACTGACTCCAGCCAAACAGCTCTTCATCATTTAGCCTTTGTAGCCTCCAGGGAATTACCTGATCACGACATAGAAAGTAAGAAGAGGCTACACTAAGATGTCAGAATTCATACATAAGGTGTGTTTTAACTGAGCTTCAAGTGTCTTGACTTTCCCCTTGACCACCTTCAGTCATGTTGTCCAACATTTTTTGCATATCCCTGGGGACTCATCTATGTTGATCTATATCTGACCATGGCCAACCTCACATGATCTCTTTCAAGACAATCTCAGTGAATAATTTGCCAGCTGTTGGGGTACAGTCAGAAGCTGGTCAAGGGGAAAGTTAGGACACTTTATGTTCAGTTAAAACACAACTTGTGTATGAATTCTGACATCTCAGTGTAGCCTCTTCTTACTTTCTATGTCATCATCAGGTAATTCCCTGGAGGCTACAAAGGCTAAATGATGAAGAGCTGTTTGGCTGGAGTCAGTTTCTCTGAAACATTGAGCTAGATCCCCAGGAGACTACAAGATATCAAAAAGGCAGACCACAAAGTTTTGTAATGAAAAAAGCGGACACTACAAAGTTTTCTATTGAATAAAGGGGCCACTACACACTTTTGTAGTCCAAAAAGCGGAGACTACACACTTTTCTAATGAAAAAAGCAGACACTACAAACTTTTCTAATGAAAAAGCAAACACTACAAACCAAACTTATATTATGTAATGACTTTCCCAATTAGAAAATATGGGAACATCATCATGAACAATGACAACACTAAGCTAGCCATTAACTTTTCTGGCCCAAAAAGCATGGGAAACAGTTCCCAACCTAAATGTGCACTGTGCCTGACATCAGGTGTGGCAGAAAAAAGTGTAATACTTTTCCCAATTAGGAAATGGCCCAACACATCAAAGCATATACTACACATGGGTCAAAGCTATTGGTAAATATCTGTCAACAAACATCCCAGTGAGGGCTTTCTGCCTACAAAATAATAGGTAAAACCCCTCTCCTCTATATCAAAATAAAATATAGGACCCCAGACACCCCTTGTTGCTGAAGAAATATATCCCAAGTCCATCCCAGACCAGAAATATATTTTTACAATGTGACAGTCACAATTCAGGGTCCAGGCATAAGAAATATATTTAGAGTCCATCCCAGTGAGGAAATATATTTTGGGGTGTGTGACACACTAGAAATATATTTGGTGTGACATTGGACATCAAAATATGTTTAGGTAAAAGTGGAGATATACCCCCAGACATTTAGTCCATAAAATGTGTGTCGGAATTGTGGTTTCTACCCAGCGTTCATTCTGACGCATTCAATTCCAAGCCAAGCTATGGAACGAGCTTCTACTCAGCCTATGGCTACCACCCACATTGATATAGATGCCATAACCACCCCAAATATCAGTCCACGAAGGCCTCAGCTGGTTGGCTGCGCAACCTGGCATGGATTGGTATGCTTCTCTTATAATCACATCTCACATACATCTGAATTCATAATATAGATGGCGGCATCAACCCTCCTCAATTTTATCGTTCACATCAGGAGATTGAAGCAGCTTGCCTCGCTGCCAGTGTTATACCTCCACCTCGATATGAAGACCCAGAGGAAATGGTCAGTGGTTTCAATGAACGGCTGGTGGATACCACTCGTAAGTTTCCTTCGTGTTCTATTCTATCCATGCTTCATCTGCTGATGTTTTTCACATATTTTGCAGCTGTTCCTCTTCCCACTCAGTACGATGTCTTGTCTTCAAGGGTCTCGCCTTCTCCGATTCTGTCCCAACACTATCGCGAAGTCACACAAAGAGGGGATGTCCCTCTTCAGGGCCCTGGTGTGTATGCTTTGTAAGTTTGCCTTGCTGTCACTTCATTTTCTCTCTTGCAGGTGCATTGGGACATTTAGTCAATGTCACGCATATGTTTACACCAACAGAGCCACTGCCATCCACAGCCTCAAACCGCAACACGAAGGCAGTTCCAAAGAAAAAGAAAACCACGTTGCTGGGTCACATCAAGCTCAAGGTGATTATGGGCATCAAATTCATCAAGGCGATCCTGACGATCCACTCCCTCCATGCCCACTTCGCTCCTGGTGTCCACTCTGGGCCTGAGTTTAGGCTTTCCTGGACAGGTTCAGTGTACGTTGGTCCTTTTTTTAAATGTTCATTCGTACTTAGAGTCATTCCTTCCAGTGGAGGCAAGGGTGGTGCCCCAACAATCTTAACTGATCAAAGCTTCGAAATTGCGGTCACGGCAATTCTTTTAAAGGACAAGGGCAAGATTCAGCTTGTGGTGGAGTTTGATTCCAATTCCATGACAGGATTTAGGATCCAACAGCCGGTTCGTACTTTATGCTTCCCATTAATTATCTTTGGCTAACTTCAATTATCTATTAGACAGTCTTACAAGAGGCTCCCACGAACAACGGTGCAGATGAAGAGCTCCTCTATGGAACACGGGTAAGCTCTGTCTTTTGTATTTAATCTCGCCCTTACTGATTGTCAATAGATACCCCAAGTCGCTAATTTTGACAGTGCTCTCCAACTTAATGGGCGCTTTGTTTTGGAGCTGAAGAAGAAATGGCCTTGTGTCAGCCATCTTGGTGAACATGGCGAGAGCCCTATAGTAGAAATACACACATTGATCATAAGGATCGTTAGACGCAACCTGGTCTAGTCGATTAAAGTCTACATCCGAGAAATGTGCACGCCTTAGGCAGTAGGAATTGCGGTCGGTTCGTGACCGAATCACCTCAATATACTCGAAGTCTAATAAAAGGCTACACTACCATGAAATAGTACGCTACCGAGTGTTCTAGAGTAAAAAAACACCCCCGCACAGGGTGTTGGAGTTTACACCAAACCAGGGTCTCACCTTATTATGGATTAAAAGATATTAATTCTAAAGATAAACACGCGAGCGTAGAAACTCGATGCAAGAAGTCATTCGGTCACGTGCTACGAAGCATGATCCAAGAAGTCATGTGGAGAGACGCATCACGCACATCAACGCATCACAAATCATGACATCATGGACCCAAGAAAACTAAGCTTCGTGAAATATTCCGAAGCCTGCCAACAGAGAAAAACTATGAACGATTTGCCGTGCGGTCCGAGGCCCGGGCATAGTATCTAATAATAGAGAGAAAAATCACTAAGCAGACCGTTCGTCTCGGCTGAACCAATCGTGAAAATTGTTTATGGCGATTCCTGCATACACATCAATACTGATGTGTCGTGTCGCCACAATAGAGAAAACATTACGAAAACTTAAAAGAAGTCAGCTCAGTTGTACCACACACAATTGAGCCACTTCAAACCTTTACTAAAAATCAGTATTAATGTGTCCGACCTCCCAGACAATGCACGGACATGTAAATATAAATAGAAACCATGGAATAGTATAAAAGGAGGATGCGCACAGGCTGAAACACAAGGAATTATCCCCTGCGTTGACCAGCTGTCGCACTCCCAGTAGCATCTGAGGTAGTGGATAAGTGTGTAATCAATTAAAGGACATTTTCTTCACAGACATAACTAACATGTGCCCGGAACCAGTGTGTTAAGTGGGGATCACTAAGCCTTTGTAAGGTTGTCTTGTCAATTAGTAAGAGAGCTCTCTACTATTACCGAGGAATCCAAGTGAGCGTGCTTGAAGAGTCTTGTTCAAGCATAGAAGAACCGGCCCCTACAGGTCGGTCTTCACACAGAACCATGCCATTACCCAGTAATAATGGAGCCCTGTTCTTCGATAAAGAGAAACCAATTGAGCTTCTACGTTTCTGCGTAGCATATGCTCCCCTATGTCCCATAGCATCGTGTGCAGATCTCATCATGTACATTCGGTGAGACTTGTCGACCACTAGCTTGTGACGTGATTCAATGCTTCGACGATATAATCTATCTTCTTTGTCTAGGAAGAAACTTTTTGCAAATCTTACGAAAGCGCCGTACTTTTTATCAGAATATCCTTTGGTCTTTTTAGGATTTTTCAGCCAGTCTCTTAGTATAAGAAGGAATTCATCCTGTGACTGTCCAATAAATGACCTATGAGTTTCCGGGTAAGGTTGCTCTGTTTCTAGTTCGTCAAACCTGGCTTCCAGGCCTGGTGAAGTTAAAGTCGAAATCATGTAAGTTTGAAGAAATTCCTTCTGTTCTGGGCTGCTTTTTGTATGATCTGGATCATTGTCCACTCTTGTTTTCACATCTTTAGCTATTTTCTGTGTCATTGCTATTTCCCTGTCTAGTTCATCCTGAAAATCTGAGATGTCTAGAGCCAATTGTTGGATATATCCCCCCCTCGAGTCAATTTGATCTTTGAAGGTTTCGAAATCTAAAGGGGGCTCCCCTCCATCTGGATCTGGTAACACTTCAATGACACCAACAGGTTCGTCGAGATGTTCATCTGAAGGTGGATACACATCGTCACCTGGTTGAGCATCTCTGCGCGATAATCCATCTGCGCCAAAGGTCTTTCCTTGGACATGTTGTAACTTAAAATGGAACATTAGACATGCGTCAATCCATCTGTTGATGGTTGCATTCGGTCCCATTTCAGGGTTTCGAAGCATACCTGACAGGTATTTCGCATCTGTTTCCACAATTAGTTTTCGACATCCTAGAAGCCAGTATGATGCAGCCTGTAAAGATCGCATTAAACCAAATAATTCTCTTTTTGGTTGGGAAAATCGAGCTTCTCTATCATTCAAAGTTATAGAACCGAACCTGGCATACTGCCTAAGCCCAGTTGTATGGTTATCCTGATATATGTAGAACCCAACCGCTTTCCAAGAGGTGTCTACAGCTAGTACCACTGGGTTAGGATTATTTTCGTAATCCAACAGCACGAGCGCTTTACTTTCGCGAAGTGAGGATTTCAATTCGTCCATAGACTTTTCTTGTGCTGGTCCCCATACAAAAGGAGCCCCCTTTTTGCATAAATCGTTGAGAGGTTCTGCTTTCTTTGCAAAATTCTCAATAAACATTCTGCAGACCCCTACAGTTCCTAGAAAAGCCCTGACGTCATGTAGGTCTTTACAAGGTCCCCAAAGATCTATAACTTTCATTCTTTCAGTTTCCGGTTTTCTGCCTTCATAAGTGCATAGGTGGCCTACTACTGTTATTTCAGCTGCACAAATTACCGACTTAAATCCTGAAAAGGTTCCTCCAGCATATTTCATCCTATGAACTACCCTGTTAGCATTTTCGAAGTGTTCCATTATGAACCTTCTTATACTGCTATTTTCAGGTATAGTCTCGTATTTTCCATCTGGCAACTCGTACCTTGTTGCAGGCCCTCTGACAGGCACATCATCAATATATGGTACAGTTACTTCAGGAATTTCTTCTTGTAAAATATACGTAACGTCATCATGGAAAATTGGAACGGAATTTGTCCAACCCATGGGTAGAGTGAAAAGTCTTAAAGCTCCAAAAGGTGTTTGAAATGTAGTCAGATCCCTGGAAGTCTCTGCCAAGAGCCTTTCATCATATCCAACGTATAAATCAAACATTCCTCTGCAAGCTCGACCAGCGAAATGCGTAGCAAGTGCATCGGTTGCAGGTGGTAATCCTGAATGTGCTATAGTCACTGCATTTAAAGGTTCCAGACTATGTACAAGCCTCAAACTTTTTCCATCTTTCTTTAATACACAAAACCATCTTGACCTATAAGAAGAATTTGAGGGTTCATATACCCCAGCATCCAATTTGGTCTTAATAATTCTGCACACTTCTTGATAAAGTCCAGGAGGTATTGGAATATTTTTCAAAACCCATGGCATATGTGGAATTATTGGAATGTCTACGGGTGGGAAGTATTCTGTTTTGAAGCTCCCCCTCTCACTATCATCCCAAGCAAAGGCTTCGTTGTTTTCCATCATAAAATGATGTAATAGTTTGCGCTCCTCTGGCCACAAGAAATCACCGTTATGAACTTTGTCAAATTGCTCTCTTCGTTCTTCAGTATAGCGTCCCGTGGGTGTGAATTGTGGTGGGTTTCTATTCAGCTTTGGCAAGGTGTCCATTGGATCGCCTTTTATATCCCGAATAATTCGAAATTTATCTGGCAGGTCCTGAAAGACGGGTCGGATTTTCTGTGCGACTGGTTTATACTTTTTAGTTACCAGTACCTCCCTTGTCGCAGGATGTTCACCCTCCACTTCGCTCGGTTGCGCTTTACCGTCATGGTTATATATCGTATTCATCATGGTTTCCACTGTAGACACGGTGCCCGATTCTTGACTTTGCTTAGAATAATATTTTTCTAAGTAGTTTACCAGAACCGTACTAGCCGCCTTGTCTGTCATCTTTTCTTTTTCATGTTTTAAGTATTTTGTAAGATACAAATTCCTAGTCTCTTCTTCAGAGAATTGATCGTCCATTAAGAAAACCATCGAAACGAAAGTGCTTATCGATAGTGGTGCTCAAGGAATTTTTATGGATGAATGATTCGCGAAAGAACACAGACTCCCGCTCTTGAGATTGGATAAGGAAATCCAAGTCTCAAACGTAGATGAAAGTCCGAACAAGAATGGACCTATTAGGTTCTACACCCAACTCCCAACAAAAATTGACGGAAAAGTAAATTCCACTCGATTTTTGATTTCCAACTTAGGAAAAGAAGACGTAATCCTTGGATTACCATGGTTAGACAGAATTAACCCCAAAGTAAACTGGACAAAGAAGACCATCAAGATTATCCCAGACAGGATAAAGAAACCGAACATATGACAAGCCGTAGATCGAGAAATCCAGATTCTAAAGAGAGAATCAGAATGCAAGAAGATGAAGTCAAAAGAAGCTTTCGCAGATCAGCTGTGAAAAATCCCTGACAAGAGGAAGAGATTAACGGTCTCTATTGAAGAGATACCTGATGAAGACACAACCCCAAAATTTGAAAGATTAGCAGATAATGAAGAAGCCATTCTCATAGCTGTGAATGAACTTCCTGATCAATATGAAGACATGCCGGCCCTAGTACCTGACACAGAAGATGATGAAGAAGACAAATCAGAAGGAGATCTTGTCGCCACATATCTCCAAGGAGAAACCATAACAGAATCCAGACCAAAGAAAGAGGAACCCATAAATCAACCCATTCAGGTTGATTTGGATATAACAATCAGAGCCAAGACATCTATATCGCAGAGTCTTGCACATAAGGAAGAAACGAAAGAAGAGAAGACTTTTGAAGATCTAGTCCCAAAAGAATACCACAGATTCAGTTCAATATTCGAAAAGAAAGCATCAGAACACTTTCCCGAATCAAGACCATGGGATCATAGAATCAATCTTAAACCGGACTTCGTACTGAAGAGATCGAAACTTTACCCCTTAGGACAGAAAGAAGAAGAAGAAATGAACAAGTTCATGAATGAAAACCTAAAGAAAGGCTTCATTAAACCGTCAAATTCACCTCAGGCTTCACCTTTCTTTTTCGTATCAAAGAAAGATAGCAAAGCACTGAGACCCTGTCAAGATTATCATCATCTGAATGATTACACAGTCAAAAACACATATCCCCTCCTGTGAAATGGTGTTCGACTACTTCTCGCGTGGTGAGCCTTGAGGAGAAGTCGAGGGAGGCTGACTACGTGTCAGCGCTTATCCCGTTAAGTGAGCAGTTGCAGGGTGCTCAGCCGGCCGGACGTGTTGATAGTAAGGTACGCGAGCCTGTAAGGCTTGCGTTGACGTGAGACGCTAGTCGTCGTGCATGGGATGCAAAAGGTGTGATTCAAAAAGATAAAGTAACCCTAATGTAGGGTTCTAATTCATATATACAATCTTCAACTATAGACAATAGTAAACACGGCGCGTGATGTCAATGATAGAGTCCGCAATAATACTACTTCACAAAGCCCCCCACATCAGTAGCCGTGGTTATGAGTTTTGCTGTTGTTTAGCTTTATGTTTCCGGTGCCTCTGTCCGCCTCGAGAACGCTGTGGACGTTCGACCTGTTCTTCCAAGGTCACGGCAGCTCGATGAAGTAATGATACGTCCGGAGCGGGAGTAGACGGGCCTGGCGAGGTTAACCGAGCTTCAAGTGGGATGAAGGTTGAGCTAGGACTGTTCATGGAGTCATCAACGTTAGGAGCCTCAACAGAGGGCGGTCGCGTCCATGAGTGGGTTGCGTCTCGAGCCGCTCCATTAAAGGTAGTCTCCGCCATGAAATGGCCGACAACCAGCGAACCGTCCGCCATAGTCCTATGCGTAAGGTAACCTTGTAGCCGACATGCATTGTCATTACTCTTCATATCCACCCATATAAGAGAAACGTCTTGCACGACTGTCCGGAACATCCTATTAATCCAAACAAAGTGAGACGAAACTGCCATGCTGTAGAACCAGACACGACAAGTTTCCCAATCCGGTGGTAATCCTTCGAAGCATAGGAAGCGTGAATCGGTAGAGTGATTTCCCAAAGTAGCGAATTTAGTCTGCACTACGGATACCGGCGAGCTTGAACTGGCTAATGGGAGGGACGTAGTCTCTCGTGAGGCTACCGTGTTCTTCGTCTGTGGTAATACAATATCCGAACTCTTCATCTTCTTGGGCTGGCTTTCGTCTTTAGTAGTAGGAAGTCCTGGATTGGGACTAGGCGCTCGGGGTCGTCGACCAAACTGATTCTTCATGTTCTGCATCTCCTGGTCTCGGGAGATATAAGGTTTCGATCGATGAGCTCTCGGTTCCGTTGGGACGAGCTTCGGTGATGCAGCTTGTGATGTGGATTAGGAGAGCCGTGTCCAGCCGCCCTAGGTCTTTTATTCCATTCCTGGGCGAGGAACTAACCCAAGCGATTGCTAGGGACGTATTCTCGACTTCATCGAGAGCCATTCGATCCCGTCTTACAAAAGGCAACCAAGGCTGCAGCGGATCGTAATGCTGCGGGGACTTCGTGGGGTCGAATCGTCCTAAGTGACCGTCAAAACGTCTTTTCGTCTTATCTTCTTCCATAACGACTTCGTGCCCAGGAGCCCGGATACCCGGATAATACGCGTCAATCCGAGAGTTGGGGGACCATATCAACCACGTTTTGCCCGACATGGTTACTAATCGGCTATGAACGCGAGAGAAGGGAGGCAGGATTAGAGGCAGGGTATTGTCGACCACCGGTAGCTCGAAATATCCTGAGATGCTCTTCCTTCGCGTCGTGTCGTAAATTCGTGCATCGTATCCGTTAGGAGCGGGGGTGTGCGTGAATCTCGTGCCCATCATGGTAACTTCTTGCTTCCGCGAGTTTAATGGCTTGATCGATGAGGAGGCGAAGATAGCGGGAGGGGCGAGAGCGACGGCGAGAATAAAAGATTATTATGGCTTTCTCCCACGACCACGTTCGCGTATTATATACTAATAACTTGTTCAAATATGCTACAAACAATGAAATGATATCAAAAATAGTAGAAGGGTTCTTGCGTGGATTCCTGATGTGTAACAGGTTCTCGTGTGAAGGCTTCGGAACGAAATAGTTCTCGTGTGAACGTTCATGACCAGATAAAAGTCGAAGTGTCTCTTTTCTTCCGGTATTCTTTCTACCTCCACCACCACAGCCATGAAAGGTCAAGGACCCTTTGCTAGTTCTAGTTTAGTCCCAACTTGTCAAGGTAATCTCTTTTAATCTCCGGGGAGTTGCGTAAGTCGGCTTCTGAAACCCAAGAGTCCGCTTCCGGTCCATATCCGACCCATCTAACTCTAAACATCCTTCGATTACCCTTCTTTTTGCCCGATACTTTATGTCCTAGAATGGCCTCGACTTCGTACTCTTCGCTCGGCAAGAAATCTCTAGTGGAGGGTAGCGTGGCGCGGTCCTTGAATTCTTCAGGAGACTGCTTGTACTTTTTAAGGTGTTCGATATTGAATACGGGGTGCATGGGGTAGGTATCTGGTAGTCTGAGCCGATAGACGTTTGGATTAATGCGCTCCATTACTTCGAACGGCCCTATCATCACTAGTGGCTACCACTATTTATGATTAATCTATGACAACTGTCCAAGAGCCATTGTGTATAATGCCACAGGTTTTATGAAAGGCAACTCATTAGGATTGCCCATCTATTTCATTCAATTTGTCACTGGAATCTTTCATAAGTTATAGGCAAGGATAATGAGATATCATGGGGATATTTCATTAGGCTCTTTGGCCCTTTCATTATCATTTCTGAGACTTTTCATTAGGATATTTCATTAGGCTGCTTCGCTTTTTCATTACCATTTCATAGAATTTTCATTAGGATATTTCATTAGGCTCCTTGCCACTTTCATTACCATTTCTTAGAATTTTCATTAGGATATTTCATTAGGCTCCTGCGCTTTTTCAATACCATTTCTTAGAATTCTCATTAGGATATTTCATTAGGCTCCTGCGCTTTTTCATTATCATTTCTTAAAATTTTCATTAGGATATTTCATTAGGCTCCTGCGATTTTTCATTATCATTTCTTAGAATTTTCATTAGGATATTTCATTAGGCTCCTGTGCTTTTTCATTACCATTTCTTAGAATTCTCATTAGGATATTTCATTAAGCTCCTTCACTTTTTCATTACCATTTCTTAGAATTTTCATTAGGATATTTCATTAGGCTCCTGCGCTTTTTCATTATCATTTCTTAGAATTTTAATTAGGATATTTCATTAGGCTCCTGCGCTTTTTCATTACCATTTCTTAGAATTCTCATTAGGATATTTCGTTAGGCTCCTGCACTTTTTCATTACCATTTCTTAGAATTCTCATTAGGATATTTCATTAGGCTCCTTCGCTTTTTCATTACCATTTCTTAGAATTTTCATTAGGATATTTCATTAGGTTCCTGCACTTTTTCATTATCATTTCTTAGAATTTTCATTAGGATATTTCATTAGGCTCCTGCGCTTTTTCATTACCATTTCTTAGAATTCTCATTAGGATATTTCATTAGGCTCCTTTGCTTTTTCATTACCATTTCTTAGAATTTTCATTAGGATATTTCATTAGGCTCCTGCGCTTTTTCATTACGATTTTTTATATTTCTCATTAGGATATTTCATTAGGCTCCTTGGCACTTTCATTAGATTTTCTTGGAATTTTCATTGGGATATTTCATTCAGCTCCTTGACCCTTTCATTACCATTTCATTGAATTTTCATTAGAATGCTTCTTGGCGCTTTCATTAGGATATTTCATTACACTCCTGGACCATTTCATTAGATTTTTCATTGGGAGATTTCATTGGGGCATCTGGCCCTTTCATTACCATTTCTTTCAGGATATTTCATTGAGCACCTTGACGATTTCATCACTTCTCATTAGGCTCCCTGGCACTTTCATTACTATTTCTTAGATTTTTCATTAGGATATTTCATTAGGCCCTTTGGCACTTTCATTACCGAAAACTATATAATAATGATGATATGTATCACATAGGTTGTTGGGAGGGTGGTCACATGACCAATTACCAAAAATAGTCAAAAAGCGAAAGTTGTACCCCTGCACTGTAGCTTCCCGAATCTGGTTGAATTATGTTCTGAAGTGCTCCTGTTGTGGAGATATGAGGTAAAGGAATTCCAAAAGCGTTGTGTTTTTTTTGGTTTTTTGCATTTTTCTTCATGAAAACAAAACCAAATAACATGATTCCAACACATTTAGAAAGCTAGATGAAAGGGCAACAAATATCATATTGTGGGAAAATTGACCAAAAAAGGAAGGTGCATTCCCTAAAAGAGCAATCAACACTGACAGACTACAAGAGTCAGATATAGACTACCAAGTTTACTGATAGACTACAAAAAAGTTGGACATAGGCTACAAAGTTTACTGATAGACTACAAAAGACTACAAAAGTCAGACTTAGACTACAAAAGCTTGGACTTAGACTACAAAATTAGGGTTACATTAAAAGGTTTTGTAGTGTCCGCTTTTTCATTAGAAAAGTTTATAGTGTCCACTTTTTTAGACTACAAAAGTTTGTAGTGTGTGCCTTTTCATTAGAAAAGTTTGTAGTGTCCGCTTTTCAGACTACAAAAGTTTGTAGTGTCCGCTTTTTCATTAGAAAAGTTTGTAGTGTCTGCTTTTTGAGGCTACAAAAGTTTGTAGTTGACATATAGTTTATAGTGTC